TAGAACAGAAATGCTCCGGGTCTGTGATTTGTCCAATACTTTATTGCTAGGCAAAAAAATACCGCCATAATGTCCACATTCGATCAACAATTGCGTGATGGCAATAGAAAAGTGGGTCTCTCCCAGCAGAGTAAAAATTACCCAAATCCTCAAAAGCGGGTTGTTGTGGATCTCTTACCCAAAGGTGCACTGCAGTATGGGAACCACGCTCACATAAGCCAGGACCCTTAGGTTTGTCAGCTCTTGCCCTATAAGGATCTCCCATGAAGCTCTCTACTGAATAGCTACCACGAATCATTTCACTGTAAATTATAGAAAGATTATTAGCCACTGACTGTAAAGGGTCTGTGATTTTATTCAAGCTTAAATTGACGATGGCAGGGGGCAGGCTCTCCTAGTTTTGCTTCTCATCGTATAGAGTTGATTTGAGATTCAAAAACATGTGGCATCCTCATACCCTTAGGTTTGGTCCAATTCCAGAATGATAAAGCAAAAGTGGGTCTCCAATCAGTTTCCCAAGAATTCGTTCATAGAAATACAGGTACCACCCGTGGCAAGGAAAGAAAAGCCAAGAATTGTGAACTTGAAGATCGAACTCTCCCTGGCCTGGTTGGTGATAAGCGCCTTTACAATAAGAACAACGAATATTAGCTTGTTGCATAAAATTTCGTGGATCATTTGAAGGAAGGCGTTTCATGCGGTCAATGGCCATATTCTACTTAAATTCATATTCTGGGATAATTGTATCAGCAGATGGTCTAACAAGCATGAAACGAACAGTGGGGAGCCTGTAATCAATTATGTTCTATTTTACAAGCAGGCAACAATTGATTTCTACTTAGTTTCTGTCATCCTTTTCGAAGGTAGCATTACCACACTTATCGCCAGAGTGGTTGGATTGGCTCGGCCAGTGCCAGCATAGGCAAGATTGGCAGCACCATGCAAGCTTCCCATATTGTAGAGCATGTTTCTCCTGTCAACCTTTTCCTGGGAATCGACATTTTTGGAGTCATCTTTCAAGTCTTGTTCACCATTTCCAGCGTTGCATGAGACACGAAAGCGAGTGGTGGTCTTTGCATGGGTGAAAAAATGTGATGGCTTAGCAGAGAAAGGGTGTAAAGATGATTTTTGGGAGGCGGAGGTGGTGAAGAGAGTGCATGGAGGTGAAAGATATGCCATGACTCGTTTTAGGTTACCAGTTCATGAGATGCCCTAAATTTATCGAAAAAGATGGTGGAAATTTACAGGTATGTGTTACTGGATTTTTTTTTTTTTTTTAAATCATGGTTAATATCTTGTATTATTGCTACCTAATACCTAACATGGACAATATTTATCCCTCGTTATCTAATGCTTAATAAAAAAAATTATTTGCGTTTTGGACAAAATAATTAGAAAAAGTAAGAGATCTTCATTTATATACGAGGCACGACACTCTAAAGTCTAGTGAACACTTTATAAATAAAAATTATTAAGTGCCTTGTTTCCATTTTTTCCCTATTATAATGAGTTTTCTTTTTCTTACC